GCTGAGAATAGGAATGGGTAGTTTCATAAAGGAAATCCGAGGGGTTGATACCAGGAAGATGGGGAACAAAGGCTGGGCAGCAAACCACTCTCACAGCAGATGAGGAACACATCTTCCATCATAATAGGCAGGAGGCTGGACAGATGGGTATAGTCACAGAAGGATCTGTGGGCTGGAGGGCAGGGATGGTGTGAGAGCTCCTTCCTGGTCATTTCACTCTGTCAGTAAGACATGGATGAGGTCTTGAATCAGCTAGGAGGGGTCTGGAAACTTCTGGGTCAGGTCTTGTGTGGGGTGCTGGGGATGAAAGGATAAACAGGACAACATCCTTGCTCTCCAGTAGCTACTGATTTGATGGGAAAAACCCACAGCCTGAGGGAATATAATGGAAAGTATGTGATGGCAGCACCCATTCCCCTTATTCAGGTAGCAACATCCCCATTTTCCTGTAAAGAATAACCCCTTCCTCATTCTCAGCCCACATGATTACAGTGGAGCTCACTTCTCTCTCTGGCTCCAGGGGTGGGCACATGATCCAGTTTGGGCAAAATTAGGCAGCACTTGGAAATTATCTGGGGATGGTGGCACATGCCTGTATTCCCAGCTACTTGGGAGGCTGAGGCAGGAGGATAGTTTGAGCCCAGGAATTTGAGGTTGCAGAGTGAGTGTAACACTCTGTACACTTGCAACAGAGCAAGACCCCATCTTTAAAAACAAACAGACAACAACAAAAAATCAGCCCTGGGATTTTTTGTTTGTTTGTTTTAGTTGCTAAGATTATAGTATGTATGCAAGCCTTGAAATGGTTGCTGGCTATTTCTGTGACCATTTCAGGAGAGCCCCCCTGAGAATGAAGACAACACAGAGGAAAGCACAGCTGAGTAGCATGTAGAGATATGGCGCGTGAGCTCCTGGATGCACCCATACCTGAAGCAAGACCTATTCTTGGTCTCTTTTGTTTGGTTACATGAAGCAAATGTTTCCTTTATAAGAAAATTGAAACCCTTTAGATCAGAAGCATCCTGATGAATACAGAGGTCTCTCAAACCTGTGTATTTGATTCCTGAACCGAGAGCATCACATGTCTCTGTCTTATCTGTTCTATTCCTCCTCACACCTTTGGTGTCCTGCATCCCTGTCACTCATCCCACCTAAGGGGTCCCTTAGATAATCATTCTTGTCATGTATTCATTCAACAAGTATGCCTTACGAGTGTCTACAGGGGTGGCAATGAGCTGTGTGCTGTATGTATGGCAAGGTCAGTGAATATACATGGTGAGCACTCAGCCCCTCCCCAATCCATGCCCATGGCAGACACTGTTAATCAACCCATGAATTCTTTTTGAACCTGAAAGTGGCCTCAGATTCTTTGTCATCATAGCACTCTAGACAGGCACAACCAACTGGTTGAAGTTGACATAGAAGATGGAACCTAGCTTCATCCTCTTTCTCCTTGATGGCTGCCCCTCCTCTCTGGCTCTGCCCAGTGAGTGCCCACTCTCCTACCTGCTCATGAGAGGAGTGGCAGAGGAGCATGCTGGATCTTCATTCCCTTTGGAAGAGATTGAGAATTTGGCTGCTTCTAGTAAATGAGGAGGATACTGTTCTGCTCTCCATGAATGTCACTGTCCCTGGCAATAAAGTGTGCATTAGTAGAGTCTGTGGGATTGTTGCACCTGGTTTGGGCATGTCCTTTGATAAAGGATTCCTTTATTATAGGGTCCTAAAAGACAGCCTCTTTCAACATACCCGTTGGGGACTGGGCCAGTTGTAGAGAGGTGTGTTCCAGTCACTCATGTATAGCTAGTTAGTGCCATGATGGAGGCTGCGGGCTGAAAGCTTTGCTGGAAACAAAAGAAAATAGACTTCTCCTGTAGAATGGAGAACCATACTTTCATTTGGAGCTTTAATATCTATAGCAAAGACCATGGCTTTAAAACCATGTGTCAAAAGGAAAAACACTTTCATCTTGACCTCTTCAACTTATAAAATGGATCCCTTTCTTAATCATCTAAAATTATATGTATAACTATAAACTGTAAAATTACAAGTACCTGAAGATACTTGTACAAAAAGAATAAACTTGCCTTTAATTAAAAAAAAGTTGGGGGGGGGGCAGATGCAGTGGCTCATGTCTATACTCCCAGCACTTTGGGAGGCAAGAGGCTCACTTGAGCCCAGGAGTTTGAGATCAGCTTGGGAAACATAGTGAGACCGTGTCTCTATAAAAATAACAATTAAAAACAGTAGCCAGTTGTGGTGGTGCACACTTGTAGTTCTAGCTACTCAGGAGGCTGAGGTGGGAGGATTGCCTGAGCCCAGGAGGTTAGGGCTGCAGTGAGCAATGATGGTGTACTGCACTCTCTCCTGGGAGACAGAGTGAGACCCTGTCTCCAAGGAAAGAAGAAACCCCTAGTGTCATCTTCAAGGTGAAATATGGCTCAGGGCAATAGTGGATCCATCACAGAAGGGAGACAGGACTGAAATACTCTAGCGGTTGGGGAGATTCGAGTCATTAGGACTCTTAAGTTTGTAAGGAATTCTCTACTCTCTACAGAGAGAATAGAGAGAACTTAAGCAATGAGGAGAATTTATCATAAGGACAAAATGCCAGGGATCGAGCAGGGCCTCAGGGATAGCCAAAGGCAGAGACTGGAGTGTTGTAAGAACTTAGGAAGTTCTCTCCATTTCTCTCTTCTCTGCATGTTTGTTTTGTCCTCTCTCTCTTCCAGTTGTTTCCAGTTCCCATGGCAGAGAATGAATGCCGTAACAGATCGTGTTTATGGATTCTCTAAGAGGTAGACAGACGGTTTTGGGGTGTCTTTGCAACAACTCCAAGTTCCCCAGCAAAGGGCTCTCACCCACCCAGTTTGGGACAGGAACCCACCCTGGTCCAATTTCCTGTGTCCACTGGGGAGGGTTTATATAAGATGCTAGGCTGGCTGTGCCCACTGGAGGCAAGTTGGCAATGCCAATGAGCTGTGAGATAGTGCGGATTTCTCAGAAACGATGGGGAGACGATTTTCAGGTAATAGAAAACAAAATCAATATCCCCCATGTGATTTGAGGAAGACTTCTTGCAGGCGGTAGGTTTAAAACGAGTGTCTGAGGCACTTCCTCACTTTCTCCCTAACCCCTTAAATCCTCCTGCCACCCTGTCTTGCCCCAGATGCCCCTGGTTAAGCCCTACTCCCCTCCCTGGCCCCTGCTCTGGGGCTGCTGAACCATGCTAAAGAGCACATGCAGTGTGGGGGCCTCTGCAAATGTGAGAACCCCCAGCCCTGGGTGAAGAGCTGCCTCCTCTCAGCCGTCTGGTAATTCCCTTATACATTTTCCAAACAGGCAAAGCCAATGCGTCCAAGGCCTCAGGTGCCTTTGGCTAGTGGCAGGGTCTTCCCTGGTCAGGGAAAGGCACCCTGGCTTCTGGCAATGGCTGAACAGGCCCCAGCGCTGCCATGGGCTTCAGGCCTCTGGCACCTCCACATTCCCTGTGCACCCACCCGCTGCCCCCCCAGCCCTGTGATGTCCCTCCTGTGTATGTTGCTGTTTGGATTATTATTGCCCTCTCATGCTGCAGGCTGGATCCCTGAGGCCGAGAATGCTTGACACTAGAGAGTGGCCCTTTCCTCAGGGTCTCTACACTCAGGGATCCTGGGCTCCAGCAGGCTGAAGACCTGGGAGATCTGGAACTCCACAGAGACCCCCTCCCCACTGAGCTCCCTTCCTGTCCCCTACCCTCACCAAAGACCCCTTAAACTCTCACCTGACTCCCTGTCTACTTCTCCGAATCATGCCAGACATCCTTGTCCCTGATGACACCAGAAAGGAAGCTTTTTGGCAGCCTTTTCTTCCCATTAAAAACTTGTGGACTTGGCCAGGCGCGGTGGCTCACGCCTGTAATCCCAGCATCTTGGGAGGCCAAGGCAGGAAGATCACCTGAGGTCAAGAGTTCAAGACCAGCTTGGCCAACATAGTGAAATCCTGTCTCCACTAAAAATACAAAAATTAGCTGGGTGTGGTGGCGCACACCTGTAATCCCAGCTACTCGGGAGGCTGAGGCAGGAGAATTGCTTGAACCTGGGAGGTGGAGGTTGCAGTGAGCTAAGACCACGTCACTGCACTCCAGCCTGGGTGACAGAATGAGACTCCATCTCAAACAAACAAACAAACAAACAATACTTGTGGACTCCATCTCTCCTACTCCTGCTCCTGGCTCAGAGGAAGAAGTTTGCCTTCTGTTGTCCAGAGCTACTTCTATTTCCTCAGGGACTTGGTCCCATCAGTTCTTGCCTCTTTATTAATAGTGTAGAGTTTACGACTTTGGAATAGTAGAGTCCTGATGCTCATTTAGTAGCTTTTGTGACCTTGGGCTGTCCAAACGACCTTTCTAAGCCTCAGTGTTAACATCTGTAAAACAGAAGTGTAAGGCCGGGCGCGGTGGCTCAAGCCTGTAATCCCAGCACTTTGGGAGGCCGAGACGGGCGGATCACGAGGTCAGGAGATCGAGACCATCCTGGCTAACACAGTGAAACCCCGTCTCTACTAAAAAATACAAAAAACTAGCTGGGTGAGGTGGCGGGCGCCTGTGGTCCCAGCTACTCCGGAGGCTGAGGCAGGAGAATGGCGTGAACCCGGGAGGCGGAGCTTGCAGTGAGCTGAGATCCGGCCACTGCACTCCAGCCTGGGCGACAGCGAGACTCCGTCTCAAAAAAAAAAAAAAAAAAAACAGAAGTGTAATAGACAGTTTCCTTGGGTATCCTTAGGGGATTGGTTCCGGGACCCTGTTGGATACCAAAATCTGAGGATGCTAAAGTTCCTGATATAAAATGGTGCAGAAGTATTTGCGTGTAACTTAAGTACAACCTCTTGTGTACCTTAAATATTTTCTAGATTACCTAATACAATATAAATGCTATGCAAATAGTTGTTATATTGTATTGTTTTTATTTGTATTATTTTTATTGTTGTATTGTTATTTTTTGTTTTGTTTTGTTTTTCAGATATTGTCTATCTGCTGTTGGTTAAATCTGAGGATGTATAGCTGGGCATCGTGGCACACACCTGTAACCCCAGCTACTCAGGAGACTGCGGCAGGAGAATCGCTTGAGCCTGGGAGGCAGAGGTTGCAGTGAACTGAGATCATGCCATTGGACTCCAGTCTGGGTGATAGAGCGAGATTCCGTCCCCCCACCAAAAAAAAAAAAATCTGAGGATGTAGAACCCGTGGATACAAATGACCAACTGCACATGCCTCGTGAGATTCTCAAGGTATCAAATGAGGTTTATCAGATGAAGTGCTTAGCCCGGTTTCTAGCAGGTAGCAAGTAAAATAGTGCTCCTCCCTCCCCCATACACTCAGAAGATGACCTCACCTTCCACTTTCTTGAAAAAACAGAAACCCTTAATGGAAAGTCCTGGAATCTGCAGCTCCTCCCAGGCCCAAGCTGTCCTATTCTAATCCTTTCAAAGGCTTCCCTTCTTCCCATCCAAGGCAATCCCTCCCCTATGCCTGGATCTATCCCCACTGGACACAGGAGCCTCATTCCCCTGTCACCCCATCCCATGTCTCCCTCATAGTACTGGCTTCTCCTCTTCAGTATGCTGATGGCCTTAAACCTCTCCCTTCTTCAAAAGAGGAGCACAGGACCTCCGGTTCTGCCTCCCTTCTCGCTCCCAGAGGAGCATCTTGGAGAGCTGCATCATCACAGCATGTCCTCTGGCCTTCTCTGGGAAGCATTTACTCAGGGAAGGACCAGTTTCTGGCATCAGCTCTGGTCTTGAGATAATCTGAGATCATCCATTTCAGCCACCCCATGGCTGGGCCTCTTCTCCAAGGGCCAGAAAGTCTTCTACCCCTTGGCATCATTGAGGATAAGGGCTCAGCACTGGACCCTCCTCGTTGCCCTTTCAGGGCCTGAAGCAGGCTGGGGCCTTCCAGTGCAGACCTTCAAAGCTGGGTATGCAGTCCCTCAGGTCTTGTTTCCACTGGGGCCCCGACCTTCCCCGCCCTCAACCCTGCCCTGGAAGAGAGTGTGGCAGGAGCTCTGGGTGCCCATCTCTATATCCTCGGATAAAGGCTAAGCCCTGGGGGAGGTGACCCCAGAGACTGTGGTTGAGGACCAGCCAGTCAATGCAGGAGAACCCCTGTGGCCTCAGTGGCCTCCTGTGGCCTTGGTGGCCCCTGGTTGATAGTTGCAACAGGAACATGCTGATGGAGGCATGCAGCTTAGGAGTGGGTGATCAGGGCTGAGAGAGAGGCCTAGGAGATGACATGCTGGCCAGTGACAAAGGTAATGATGTTGAAGCGAGGCCATAAAGTGCGTGGCTATGGACAGGTGTCTGTTTGGTATAGTGGTTTGGGTGAGGAGGTGGAGTATATGGGAAAGCCTCCTGTTGAACTTGCAGCCATCAGCACATTGTAATCAAATGGACCAATATTTCGTCACTATGAAAACGTCACGAGGGTTTTTGTTTGTCTGAGACAGTCCCACTCTGGAATGCAGTGGTGTGATCTCAGCTCGCTGCAACCTTGACCTCCAGGGCTCAAGTGACCCTCCTGCCTCAGCCTCCTGAGTAGCTGGGACAGAAGGTGTGCACCACCATGCTTGGCTAATTTTTGTGTTTTGTAGAGACAAGGTTTTGCTATGTTGCCCAGGTTGGTCTAGAACTCCTAGGCTCTAGTGATTCTCTCGCCTCAGCCACACAAAGTGCTAGGATTATAGGCATGAGCCACTGTGACCAGCCATCGTAAGGGTTTTGAGGTATGAAGGAAGGAAAAGAAAGAGAAAGAAAGAAAGAAGGAAAGAAAAGAAAGAAAGAAGGAAAGGAAAGAAAGAAAGAAAAAGAAAGAAAGGAAGAAAGAAAGAAAAAGAGGAAGGAAGGAAGGAAAGAAAGGAAAGAAAGAACGAATGAACAGAGAAAAGAAAGAAAAAAGAAAGAAAGGAAGAAAGAAAGAAAAGAAAGAACCCAACGCAACCTGACTTAAGCAGAGAAAATAATTTGCTGGCCCATGTTGCTTAAACAGCTGGACTTGGCTTTAGGCCCAGTGAGGTATCTCAGCTCAAACAGTAGCCATCAGGCCTTAGTCTCCCTCCATCTGCCAGTTCAGCTGTGTCTTTGTGGTGGCAAGGATCGCTCCATGTTCCATCCTCTCAGCAACCTCCAAGAAGACAATTTCTCCCCATGGCTTCGAACAACGTCCCAGCACCGAGCTTCATCAGCCTGGCCCAGCTCACCTGTCTGTCTTTGAGGCCAGAGGAACGGAATGACTGGGCTGGCCTGAAGGGGAAAGTCAGCAGTCAGTTCTAGCCAGAATGGGGCACAGATGGCTGCCGGATGCCCAGCAGGACAGATGTAGGAAGGCAGAACAGCAGATGTCCATTACGGGTCATCCTGTCTGGGACATTGGGCCTGGCACAGGAACAGCTGGGCTCCCAGAAAACTTAGGGGCCAGACACCCACTGGTGATTCTGGAATAGTCTCTCCTGCTCTAGAGCTCCACCAGCAGGTTTGTGAGGGGTCAGAGGTGGAGTGTGGGTTGTTGGTGAGGTCCTGCCCGGAGACCAGTGGACCTCACCTTTCCCATCTGGGGGCCCTGTTCCTTCAGTCTTGGACTCTGGCTCCCGTGGTTGTAGGTTATGGTCCATGGGTCATGGAGTCATGGCATAGATAAGCTCTGTCCTTCTCTTCTTCTCTCCTGCATACAATCAAGGGATGAAGTCACATCACCCACCTCAAAAGCATCAGAGACCCTGGTCTTTTCCAGCAGCCTGAGAGGCCTGAGACTTCCGCGGCTGGTTCTCTGAGCAGAGGAGTTCCTGGGGGCTGTTGTCCCCAGCCACTTCCCCTCTTCAGGCCATCTCTAAGGTTCAACCCTATCTGAAATCCTCCCTGGAAATGCCAGGGTTGAGCATTCCAGAGATGGGGGTGTCAAGACTACCCCTCCGGGCTAAAAGAAGCACACACCACGACATGGAAGACAGCACGCCTTTATTTCAGCCACCCTCCCAGGACCCAGGTACCACAGCACGTGCCCTGGTATCCACGGTGCAAGGTCCAGAAGAGCCCAGGGAACACAGCCCAGCAGTGCAGTGTCACAAATCCCTGCCAAGGAGCAGTTCACCCCACCTCCTCAAAGGGAGTGCCGGGAGTCCACTGCAGATGGGACAGGGAGCAGGGCCCAGGACCTGAGGAGCAGCACACACCAAAAAAAAAGGCGCCGGGTGAGCCCCGGGACACGCTGTACAGTCTCTGCTGTGGATTGAAGCAGCAGCTATGAGAGGTCCCTGCTTTGGCCATCACTGCTCTGCCAGCTACACAGCCATCTCCAAGGCAAGGACAACCCCGAGTGTGGGCTCCTGGCGCAGGCCAGCTGGCAGAGGTAGTGTAAACACATCTGAAGGTGGGGGATGCCCAGTGCCAAGCCAGGCCCTGGTGCTCTCATGCGCTGGGAGTTGCCCAGTCCCCAGGAACAGCGTGGGGAGGACTTGAGTCAGCAGAGCCCTGAGACTGGATAACTGACTGGGTCCAGGAAACGAGATTTCCAGAGAAAGGATGGAAACTGCAGAGAAAGGCAGGGAGAGACTGCCAGGCAGAAAGGGGACTGTGGGGACACAAAGAGAGGAGAATAGGGCAGAGAGGGAGACAGGAACAGAGAGGAGAGGCTCAGGCTTCATCTTTTCCCTTCTCTTCTCCCACTAGATCTGTGAACTCTGGGTTGGGGGTTCCCCAAGTTCTTCTAGCTGGGGAGGGGTCAGGGCTCTTCTCCCCATCACATCTGGTCACTTGAGCTCGAGGCCAGCCTGGGAAGGAGGCTGAGCGAAGCTGGGAAGGAACCGGCTCAGCCCTGCCCACTCCACTTCTACCTCAAACTGCGTCTGCCCTCTGGCTCATTCTTCTCTGCTTCTGGGGGGAGCCCTGCCCAAGCCTGTCCCAGCTAATCTCTCCGCACCGAATCCTGGACTCTTCCTTGAGGCTGCCGAAATCTCACACCATTAACTCTTCCAGGCCCTTGCAGGCAGGGATAGAGGGAAGGAAGGAGAAGGGCAGGAGGGTCGGGTATGGGAGGGAAGAGACAGGAGACTGAGAGCTCTGTCCACATGGTCAGGCCCAAGGCCAGAGATGTGAATCTGCCCTTCAATCCCTGGGCCCTAAGTACAGAGAAAATCTTAAGGAAAATCTTCAGGAATGTAAATAACTTTTAAAAATTTGTGTGTGTGCATGTCTGGGATTTGTTTTGTTTTTAATCTTTAATTCATCATATTCAAACACAATTTAAAATGTTTTTGAAATTGCACTAAATTGCTCTCTCTAGCAACATTACCTTAGGTAACCAGAACTTACAAGTGCTGGGTTTTCGATGTTTGATACATTCTTCCCTTACCTTTAGGAAGGAGGGGAACACCACTAAGCCTGTGGAAGTCATGAATCAGTTAAAAAAAAAAAGGCAAAGCTCCCTCCAGGGGCCCCTATAATCCTAATACCTGCTAAAGAGTCCCAAGCTCAGTGTCTACAGGCACCAGGAGGGAATATAAAGGAATGTTCAGAAAATCTTGGTGTCCCGGAGTCTGTGGGGAGTGGTGATATCTGGATAAAGGGGACCGTTACTCTTTAGCCGCAGCAGAATGTGGTTAAGTGGTGACACAAACCTCATGTGAGGCTTCCGATTTCAAGAGAAGGGGGAAATCTGTTATACATTTTTAAAATGTGGAAGCTCTTGATTTGTTAGCTCAAAATGAAACACTCCATAGGCCAAACAAAACAAGTTTAGTGGCTAGTTTCCAGCCTGGCTTTATGAGACCCTTAGAGATTCTAAGATTTAAAGATCTTAGGGTGATTTAGTTCTATGATTCAGAAACTTTAATGAGCATGTCAATATTTTGCAGGAACTTGTTAAAATGCAGATCTTGACTCAGCAGGTCTGGGGTGGGGCCCTGAGAGCCTTCATGTCTAACGAGTTCACAGGCAATGCTGACCCTGGCCCACCAACCACACTTGGCGTGGTGAAGGTTTAGTTCCAGAATTCCCTCTCACTGTCGTACCCCTGGTCAATGATGTCTCCAGTTCTGCCTTCACCCCTCCAGGGACTGGATACTCACTACCTCTGGTGGCAGCC